CTTATTATAACAGTTGATTAAAGCTCCACTTATGTATGAGGGTCATGCTCATTTGGGTAAATTATTTAAAGATGTTGCAAAATTTTCAATCCATTTTCTTGAATTACCGAAGCAGCCACATTTGTACGTAATTTGCATTTAAAATATAAGTTACTATTGATTTGTCTGTGAATTTATTTTTAAATAAATTATTTTATTTTATATCAGATTCAGAGATGATTGTGGCATGTACATATTGAAGTATATAGAAGTCGATAACAAAAGTTATTGTCAAATATTATTTTCACGGTAAAGTATACCATGTAGTTTCATATAGCTATTGTGTGATATTGATTAATGTGATATATTTATTGTGTAGACGCAACAAATGGGAGTTGAACAACTAAGAATTTTGGCAAAACTTGTCACAAGAAACCACAATGTAGTTGATATTTTCATTTGTCATAAATTGTATATACATGATTAAGAAGTTAAGGATTTTTAATGTAGTTTCTTCAATGGTGAATAATGGTGGTGTATTGGAATTTTCAAAACATGACATACAATTGAGTATTATGGTTATTATTCTTTGTTATGATATATTTTTTGTTTAAGAATGTAAACTTCAGCTAATAATTTTTTTTTTGAAATTATAGCATTTAATTCAGCATAATGTGTGTTGATTCCGAAAAAATGATTAAGGACCAAAAAAATACTCAAACATTACAATGTTTTTCCCATATATATTGATTTTTAAAGTTTTTGTTGAGTTGATCGAATAATCGAAATTGAAGTTGATCAAACAATTGAAACACAAATACTTATTCCCAACTAGTATATTTTTCCCTCATTGTATCGATACCAGTACACAAAGCTATCATACATGTGCATTCAATATGATTGTATCTATACATAGCACATATCGGTACCGTTGAAACTCACTGGAATTTCATAATATGTAAGCGTATTGGTACATCTACATGGTCGTATTGGTACGCATATACCAAAATTGGCTTTTTGAATACTCCTAACTTTGTAAATTGTAAATTACCTTTAAATTTTATTCAAAATAATTTATGACGATTAAATATATAATTTCATACTTTATATTGATTTTATCCACACTAATTCATGTCCTCAAGTTCTCATGTCTCAATCTTTAATCAACAATTTATCCCGCTAAACTTAACCATGAATTATTCAAGCCAAACTCATATAGGAAATGACACTTTTCGACTCACCCTTCAAAAATATTCACGTTTGTGCTCGATCTGTAATGCCCTAAAATGTTGAATTAGGGCCTTTATTGAAAGGATTTAAGATTTTAGAAATTATTTTAGTAATTTATAAAAGATAAGAATGATTTGGTAATAATTAAAGTTAAATTGTAGTAATGGAGGAATAAGGGGCATTTTAGTCAAATGGGAATTAGATGAATTTTAAATTCATTCTTTTAAGGTATTAAAGTATAGAGTCGGGAAAAAGGGGAGAAAAACTTGGTCAACTCCATTTCTTCTTCTTCTTCCCGTGCTTAATTTTCCTCCATAGCTCAAAGGTGAGTTTTCAATTTATTAGTTTACTCATTTGTTTTTGTTCGGGTTTTGATGCATTGAGTATACTAGAAGCTTATGGAAGGATAAAAGGGGATCAAAACAAAGTTATGAAGGAAATATTAGAGATTGAACAAAATGGGTTTTTGAGGGATATGTTTAAATAGGAATGTTTATGGATGTTCATTGGTAAATTTGACTTGTCAAAGCGATATATAAGAGATTATAAGCCTTGGTTTTGATTGAAAACATATTAGAAAAAGTGGTTTGATTCTTAGAATAGAATGTTCTTGAACGGTTTTAGATGATCTAAGAGTCTAAATGAAGAAAAGTTAGTAAGGTTAAGTAGAGAAGTGTTATATGGTATTGTTAGGGGTAAAGGATATAAAAATTGCCCAAAGATGAGTAATTTTTGAGTGGAAAACTGGAAAATCTGGGTAGGGGTATCGGTACCCTATGGAACAGTATCGATACCCTAAGCAAGAATTAGGCTAAATTACATAAGAGGTATTGATACTGATTGAACCAGTATCGGTACCCAAGCAATGAGGTATCGATACCATGGTAAGGGTATTGATACCAGTAAATTTTGAATCTAATTTGGGTATCGATACCTAGAGGGGTTATCGATACCATAGCTTAGGGGTATCGATACCATGATGAAGGTATCGATACTAGGTTAATTCGAAGCTAATTTTGGTATTGATACATGCAGGGGTATCGATACCCTAATAGGGTAGTATCGATACCATAAGTAGGGGTATCGATACCTAAGGGCTGGAAATGTTAAGTTAGGGCTGATAATGTTATAGGAAGTTGATAATAAATATTTTGATTAATGTTAAGTTATAATTGTTAGGAAACATACTAGCAATTAACATTATGCATGTCATTAATGAATGTGAAATAGATCACAAAAAGATCCTGAGTCAAGTAAGTCGAAAGGCAAGGCCCCAGCACCGGAATAATTATCTTCTCATTTTAGATATCTAAGTAAGGCGAGCCAGGTGAGTGCATTTAATGATGTATATATATATATACTATAGTAGTCATGATAGTATGATTTATTGATGTATGTATAGTGATTTACCAAAGGGCACTTTGTGTGCTAAAATGGTTTTCCAAATAGGGCACTTTGTGTGATAAAATGGTAAGGAAATCATACAAAGGGTATGAATTTCCAGATAGGGCACTTTGTGTGATAAAATGGTAAGGAAATCATACTATGTGTATGAATTTCCAGATAGGGCGCTTTGTATGCTAAAATGGTAAGGAAATCATACTAAGTGTATGAATTTCTAGATAGGGCATTCTATGTGCTAAAATGATAAGGAAATCTTATTGTTTGTATGAAATTCCAATTGAATTTATAGATGGTAGTAATGTTTGAAAATTGAGGTTAAAAGCATCAGTGATACAAATTATAGACTTGTTTATGGTATTTAAAGATTCTTTGGAATGAGAAGTATAATCTAATAACTTGTGATTAGAACTTTACTTGTGATTAGTCATACCTCACTATGTAATACTTAACGTGTGCTCATTTCACGTGTAGGTTAAATACAACTAAGTAAGGAGATCTTTTGGACATCCAGTTAGAGTTGCCTCATCAATAATCGTATGACATACTTGTCTACTTTTTGTTATATTTTAGTTGGCATGCAATATGATTTAGTAAAAACACTCTGATAAATATTTAGATTAAACAGTTGTAAAGTGATGAAGTGTTTAAACATCTCTTTTTTTGTTTATTTAAGTTAAGATATGTTTTGTTTTCAGTAAGTTAAATGTTTTTATAAAAATGAAACAAAATTTTATGTGTTTTCTTATTGGGAACATTAATATTAGTAATGTGACATATGTGCCTCGTATACGTATGGGTATATGGGAGATGGGTGTTACATTTATTGGTATCAGAGCTATAGGTTTAGTCGATTCTCGACTGAATCAAGTGTAATTTTATATAAAAAAAAGTTTACATGCCACTAAGATTGTCAAGGTTACTGATAGGGTATAGAATGAATATGAAAGATGTCTATCCTTTCTAACATAATTACTATTTTATGAATGATATGATAGATGTTTGATTCTACAAACTCAAGAAGAGCGGCTGAGTAAGAGAGTAGAGATGAATCGGGTAGTGAGAGCTACGAAGAAAATAACGAACATCTGATTCCATCTGACAATGCCAGTGCACCGACACCTCAGGTCATTCTTGTTCCAGAATTCAGAACTTTTATGCAAGCTCTTGAAGATATTCTAACACAATTTCAACCTCCTCCGCCTCCCCTGTTCCTCTAGTACCGCGAATGTTAATCCCAAAGGAGTTAAGAAGTTTGGGTGCTCCTGAGTTTAGGGGATAAGAAAGTGAATGCCCGATACTGACTTATGGTTTAATGACGTTAATGAAATGTTGGAAAGTTTGCAGTTCTCTGATCATGAGAAACTGGGTGGAGTTGTTTCTTTACTCAGAGGATCGGCTTGGGTATGGTGGACAAACACGACGATGTATGCGGTTCCTGAGCAGGTGAACTAGAAGTTCTTCCAAGAGGTGTTCAAAAATAAGTATATTGGGGAGTAGTTCATGAGGTCAATGTTACTGAGGTTTTTTAGCTTAAAACAAGGAGATCGCGTTGTGCATGAATATGAGGCCGAATTTAATAAACTCAACCGTTATGCTATAGAAGTTGTTCCAAATGATAAAGCTCATCGAGATTGGTTCATTGAGTGTTTGAGGCTGAAGCAAAAGGAAATGATGTTGGCATTAAATCTGTCTAGCCTACAAGAAGTAATAAATAGAGCAAAGGAGATTGAAAGGGCTCAAGAGGAGACTCTAGCGGGAGAACAGAGTATGCAGATGGGAAAAAGAATTGGAACGTCTTCATATGTTCAGTATGCAAAAAGGGGCAAGGGCTTAGGGTCTTAATTCACCATTAAAAATGATCATTCTGTAGCTTTACGAAAAACTAAGCCATCCCAATCCTATGCTGCTAGCTCGGCTAGAGCTCATGGAGAGAAACCTCGTTATCATATATGCGACAAGTTACACGGAGGAATGTGTAGGTTGATTTCTGGTGGTTATTTTAATTGTGGTGAAGAGGGCCACTTTGCTCAAAATTGCCCGTAGAAATATGGTGGCAAATCAGTACAATCTGAGAGATCAGTAGTATCACCTAATAAAAGCAGAGGGAGAGGAATATATGGTGGTCAATCTGAGGCTGTCAAAGATAAGAGACTCAGGGAGTAGCTCGAATATATAATATTAAGAATAATGATGATCGGAATAATCCGAAGATCATAACACGTACATTTCACCTTTTTGATGAGCATATTTTTGTTCTAGTAGATCTTGGTTCTTCACATTCATACATTAGTACCAAACTGATTAGAGTTAGAGGAATTCCTTTAGAACCAATTGATAGTGAAATGATAGCGATAAATCCTATGGGTCAAAGTGCAAGGGTAACTAAGATGTGTAGGAAATGTCCAATTAAGGTTCAAGGGGTAGTATTCTTAGCAAATTTGATGGAGTTGCCCTTTGATGAGTTCGAAATCATCTTGGGTAGATTATCGTCAGAATCGATTATTCTTAAAGGATGTAGAAGGTTCTGAAATTGTGGTGATAGGGGTAAGTCACAGCCCATGTCAAATGTGATATCAGCTATGACCACAAAGAAAATGATGTAAAAATGATGTGTTGCTTTTCTTGCTAGCGTGATAGACACTCGATTATCGGGTGTGCGACTGCATAATATTCCCACAGTTATGGAGTTTTCAGAAGTTTTTCCTGATGAGTTATTGGGTTTACCTCCATGTCTTGAAGTTGATTTTAGAATAGAGGTTTATCCGAGTATTGAACCTGTTTATATGGCTCCGTATCGGATGTCTCCAACGGAGTTAAGGGAACTAAAGGCTCAATTGCAAGAATTACTCGAGAAAGGATTTATCCGACCCAGTGTCTCTATGGGGAGCTCCGGTGCTATTTGTGAAAAAGAAAGACATGTCTATGTTGCTTTGTATTGACTATAATCAAATGAATAAGTTAACAATAAAGAACAAGTATCCTCTTCTGAGGATTAATGATCTATTTGGCCAATTGAAAGGCACATTAGTGTTCTCTAAGATAGATCTGAGGTCAGGGTACCATCAGTTAATGATAAAAAAATGAGGATATTTCCAAGATATCTTTTCGAACTCGGTACGAACATTACGAATTTGTAGTAATGTCGTTTGGATTAACAAATGCTCCTACTACATTTATGGATTTAATGAATAGAATTTTCCAACCATACTTGGATCAGTTTGTGGTAGTGTTTATAGATGATATCCTGGTATATTCTAAGTCAAAGGAGGATCATGATGCTCATCTTCGAGTGGTCCTTCAGATACTTTGTGACAATAAGTTATATGCTAAATTGTCCAAATGCGAGTTTTGGTTGTATGAGATTTCCTTTCTTGGTCATATAGTATCGGTAGAAGGTATTAAAGTGGACCCCAAGTAGATTCAAGCCATAATAGATTGGCAATCTCCCAAGAATATTACGAAAGTTCAGAGTTTCTTAGGTCTTGTGGGTTATTACAGACGGTTTGTGAAGAATTTTTCAATGTTATCTCTACCACTAACTAGGCTTTTGTGAAAGGATGTGCCATTTGTTTGGACTGAGAAGTGCCAATAAAGCTTTGCGAGGCTAAAGAGAATTGTAACTGAGGCTCCAGTGCTTGTGCAACCTTAGTCAGGTAAAGAATATGTTGTGTATAGTGATGCCTCCTATAATGGGTTGGGTTGTGTGCTGATGCAAGAAGGGAAGGTTGTGGCTTATGCCTCCAGACAATTGAAGACTCACGAGCGAAATTACCTGACGCATGATTTAGAATTAGCTGCAGTGGTGTTTGCTTTAAAAATCTGGAGACATTATTTGTACGGTGAGCGTTGCCATGTTTACACAGATCATAAAAGTCTAAAATATTTGCTGACTCAAAAAGAGCTGAATTTAAGGCAAAGAAGATGGATAGAGCTTTTGAAAGATTATGATTTGATTATCGACTACCATCCGGGAAAAGCTAATGTGGTAGCAGATGCACTCAGCCGCAAAACGTTTGCAGCTTTGAGGGCTTTGGACGCACATATGTCCGTGGATGGAGATGGTGATGTGATTGTCGAATTAAAGTTAAAACCAATGTTGCCAAATGTTTGACATGTCAGTAAGTGAAAGTTTAGCATCAAGTGACATACGAGTTACTGCAGCCTATATCTATTCCTGAGTGGAAGTGGGAGCGAGTCACGATGGATTTTGTTTCAGGGATACCGTTATCACCGGGTAAAAAGAACTCGATCTGAGTAATTGTAGACAGATTGACCAAAACAGCTCATTTCATTACGGTTCGAGTAGACTACCCAATGAATAAGTATGCAAAGCTATATATAAAAGAGATAGTTAGACTTCACAGAGTTCTGATTTAGATAGTGTCCGATCAAGACCCTATGTTTACTTCAAGATTTTGGAAGTCTTTGCATGAAGCATTGGGTACTCGATTGAATTTTAGTATAGTTTTTCATTCTCAAACAGATGGTTAGTCAGATAGATCTATTCAGATACTGGAGGATATGCTTAGGGCATGTGTGATTGAATTTAAGGGATCTTGGGAAAGATATATGCCTTTAGCAAAATTTGCGTATAATAATAGTTATCAATCCAATATTAAGATGGCCCCGTATAAAGCTCTATATGGGAGAAAATACAAAACACCCTTAAATTGGTTTGAATTGAAAGATTAGGAATTGGTTGGTCCAGATTTGATGAAAGTTATGGAAGATAAAGTAAAGATTATTCAGAGTAATCTAAAGATAGCCTCAGATCGACAGAAATCTTATACGGATTTAAAAATAAAAGAAATAGAATACCAGGAGGGAGATAAAGTATTTTTAAAAGTAACGCCTTGGAAGAAGGTATTACGATTTGGGCGAAAAGGAAAACTAAGTTCGAGGTTTATTGGACCATGTGAGATATTGAAAATGATTGGACCTGTGGCTTATCAATTAGCTCTGCCTCTGGATATGGACAAGATCCATAATTTTTTCCATGTATCGATGCTTATGAGGTACATATCATATCCCTCACATATTATCACTCCTGAAGAAATAGAAATCCAACCAGATTTGACGTATGAAGAATAACTGGTACGGATTTTGGTGAAATAAAATAAGGAATTACGTAATAAAAGGATTCCGTTAGTCAAAGTACATTGGCAGAACCATAAGGTAGAAGAGGCTACCTGGGAGAGAGAGGAGGATATGAAAAAGCAGTTCTCATATCTCTTTGCTTCAGGTATTTCTTTAAAATTTGGGGATGAATTTTATTAAGGGGGATAATTGTAATGCCCAAAATGTTGAATTAGGGACTTTATTGAAAGGATTTAAGATTTTAGAATTTATTTGAGTAATTTATAAAATATAAGAATGATTTGGGAATAATAATTAAAGCTAAATTATAGTAATGGAGGAATAAAGGGGCATTTTAGTCAAATAGGAATTAGATGAATTTTAAATTCATTATTTTAAGGTATTAAAGTATAGAGTAGGGTAGGGAAAAATGGGAGAAAAACTTGGTCAACTCCATTTCTTCTTCTTCTTCATGTGCTTAATTTTCCTCCATAGCTCAAAGGAGAGTTTTCAATTTATTAGTTTACTCCTTTGTTTTTGTTGGGGTTTTGATGCATTGAGTATACTAGAAGCTTATGGAAGGATAAAAGGGGATATGTTTAAATAGGAATGTTTATGGATATTTTATTGGTAAATTTGACTTGTCAAAGAGATATATAAGATAATAGAAGCCCTGGTTTTGATTAAAAACATATTAGAAAAATTGGTTTGATTCTTAGAATAGAATGTTCTTGAATGGTTTTAGATGATCTAAGAAAGTAAACGAAGTAAAGTTAGTAAGGTTAAGTAGAGAAGTGTTATATGGTATTGTTAGGGGTAAAGGAGATGAAACTTTCCCAAAGATGAGTAATTTTCAAGTGGAAAACTGGAAAATCTGGGTAGGGGTATCGGTACCCTATGGAACAGTACCGATACCCTAAGTAAGAATTATGCTAAATTACATAAGAGGTATCGATACTGATTCAACCATTATCGGTACCCAAGCAATGAGGTATCAATACTATGGTAAGGGTATCAATACCAGTAAATTTTGAATCTAATTTGAGTATCGATACCTAGAGTGGGTATCAGTACCATAGCTTAGGGGTATCGATACCATGATGAGGGTATCGATACCAGGTTAATTAGAAGCTAATTTTGGTATTGATACATGAAGGGGGTATCGATACCCTAATAGGGTAGTATCGATACCATAAGTAGGGGTATCAATACCTAAGGGCTGGAAATGTTAAGTTAGGGATGATAATGTTATAGGAAGTTGATAATAAATATTTTGATTAATGTTAAGTTATAATTGTTAGGAAACATACTAACAATTGGCATTATGCATGTCTTTAATGAATGTGAAATAGATCCTAAACAAGCTCCTGAGTCGAGTAAGTCGAAAGGCAAGGCCCAAGCTCCGGAATAATTATCTTCTCATTTTGGATATCTAAGCAAGGGGAGCCAGGTGAGTGCATTTAATTATGTATGTATATACTATAGTAGTCATGATAGTATGATTTATTGACGTGTGTATAGTGATTTACCGAAGGGCACTTTGTGTGCTAAAATGGTAAGAAAATCATACAAAGGGTGTGAATTTTTAGATAGGGCACTTTGTGTGCTAAAATGGTAAGGAAATCATACTATGTGTATGAATTTCCAGATAGGGCACTTTGTATACTAAAATGGTAAGGGAGTCATACTAAGTGTATGAATTTCCAGATAGGGCACTCTTTGTGCTAAAATGATAAGGAAATCATATTGTTTGTATGAAATTCCAATTGAATTTATAGATGGAAGTAATGTTTGAAAAATGAGGTTAAAAGCATCAGTGATATAAATTATATACTTACTTATGGTATTTAAAGATTCTTTGGAATGAGAAGTATAATCTAATAACTTGTGATTAGAACTTTACTTGTGATTAGTCATGCCTCGCTATGTAATACTTAATGTGTGCTCATTTCACGTGTAGGTTAAATACAGCTGAGTAACCAATATTTTTAACGTTTCAATTTTTAGCCAAAATAAATCATGTTGGATAAAAATAGTAAGTTGATTAAAAATCAACTCATGTTGTTGATATGATATTTTTATATTTATTCAATTAATGACGTAATATATATCATATCATCCAAAGTGATGATGTGATATATGTCAAATCACTAAAAGTGATTACGTGATATGAGTCATATTATTAAAATGATGATATGATATGTGTTATAGTGATATGGTATGTATCATGTCATAAAAAATAATGATGCGATATATATCATGTCATATGGCGATCGTTAATCAATTAACGATTTTCATTCTATAGGATTTGTTTTCACCAAAAAATAAAATGTTAGGTGTAAAATGTTAAAAATTGATATAAAATGACCATTTGTACGAACGTTGGAGATATTTGTGTTATTTTGCTAAATTTATATTTAATACAATATCAAATATAAATCCAAAATCATTTAGCAGAAAATCTTAACAGAATCTTAAGCTTTTGATTGGCATGAAGGATAGAAAGCAATTAAAAATGTAAAATTTGTTAATCAAATAAATCAGATTCATAATATCTTTCTTATTTTGTAATTCATCCCCTCCGATTTTAATCCATCATATGAAACAAATAGGCTGCTTCTGCTTGGTTAATGCCAATAGCAGGAAATCAAACAGAAGTCAAGCAGAATCTTGAAACATAGAAAATAACGCATTAACTTAATCAAATTCTTTAACTTGTGGCCTCAATATTCAACAATGCAATATCATTTAATCAAATTGCTTAGAATTAAACATCATGCAAGAACATGGCTATTTCTTATTAGGATCTCCCTCGCATCCAGTTTATACTACGAGTGGATGCTTAAACATAAACAAATGAGGCATGAATGTTAACATGAAATGCTTGCCAATTTGACATATCATGGACAAGAAGATAGTAAAACAGAAAACAAACCACCTGAAGCTATCATGGAAATTAGTCAAGACTTCGGACTATACATGATGGCTTCTGCTGCTTCAAAAGGGTGACAGTGATAGAGAAATGCAGCTGGCAGTTCGATTCAGCAATGTCGGAGTTGAATCTTCCATTGATCACAATACCGAGCAAATACCATTTGATTTATTCTTATTTTGCTTTGGAGGCTGGAGTACTACCTTAATGGCTGCATCAAAGACTGCCTTCACATTCTGCATAAGTAAGATTCCATCAGAAATAAAGGGCCTTACCACAATTTATGAAGAATATGTAGAGTATATTGAACCTGCTGTGTTTTTGAACTACACTCGATGTAGGCAGGAGCCCCTATCTGTTTCTTCATCTCCTCTCCCTTCATAAAGAAGTGATGCAAGACCAATATTTAAAACAATAGGAACAAATTCTTTGAATAATAATAATAACGATGGTGACGGTGATGATGATGATGTGTAAACAAGTACCTGAGCTGTAGATATGGGTGTTGCAGCAGGATGGTCTATAAAGTATTGCTCGTCATCCCGGAGATCTGCAACATCAAATAGTAGAAAAGATGACAAGATTTCGGAAATAGAAAAACTTCCAAAAAGATATCGAACTCAGACTCGAGTGTGACTGTTATACATGGGCATAATTAGATTCTTCTTTTTTTCCATGTATTTAGAGGAATTTTCGAGGTCATATCCATACCTATCTCTAGGATAAGAGTGTTGGACATGGATACTTCAAAAACATTAGTATAACAGGATACTATTTTTATTTTAGAAAAAAAATTATATCAATTAGGTAATCAGACCTGTTGCAATTAATAAACATGAGCATCGCAAGCATATACAAGGATACTGTCATGGAAATAAAATCATACCAAGCTTAGTTCCCACCAGAATTGTCGGAACACCAGGTGCATAATGCTTCAATTCAGGAATCCACTGAAACGAAAAGCAACATCAGCATTCACAGGCCATTACAGAGATATCTCACACTACTCAAAATTATGTTATAAATGCAGAAGATATTCAATTTTTAAACCTTCTTGGCGACATTTTCATAGCTGGCCTTGCTGATGAGAGAAAATGCAAGGATAAACACATCGGCCCCGCGATAGCTCAACGGTCTTAATCTATTGTAATCTTCCTGACCTGTTCCAAAGCAATGATTTCAAAGTAATTCAAGAAAGAACTCAAAGTTTCTAATAAAAAGAGGAATTGCAGATGCTGTTTCCAAGTTACCAGCAGTATCCCATAAACCTATGTTGACGATACTACCATCCACGACAATATTTGCACTGAAATTGTCGAAAACTGTGGGGACGTAGTCCTGTTACCATATCAATTGTAAAAACAAACAGATATCAATAAAGAAAACCAGTATACGGAATAACCTAAAGCCCCAATTTCCATTTTAATTTTGAGGGGATTCATTTCTATTAACAGAGAAAAGATATCGCAGCACATGATCAGCCTACACTGTAACGGCATTAGCCCCAATCTGATAGGATTTAACAAAAACAACAAAGTTTTCAGAGCAATTTTTCAGAACTATAGAACAAATCTCGCTCAACATCAATAATTTGAAACAACTGTTCTTTCATGGTTTTTTTATCTATCTGGGAACCAAACGGAAAATCGTTTTAAGATGAAAAGAAATGAAGTGATCATTCAATAAAGATCCGAAATTACAGGAAAGGCGACAGCGTTAAAGGCTGACCGTAGGGAAAGTATTGCTAGTGTAAGAAATCAGCAGACATGTCTTGCCGACGGCGCCATCGCCAACTGTGACACACTTAATGAATTTGGAGGCGCTCATTTTCCTTCGCCGTCGTACGAATTAAAAAGTAAACCAGAATACGTTTTTTTTACCTACAAATCTTGAAATTCTTTTCTTTCCAAGAATCTGGCCCCTTTTACTCAAATTTGCGTCACGCTGTGGTGTTCGTCAAACAAAACCTAAGATTAAAAGGTTTCATCGTTTCTCTTGGCAAAGCAAACCCTGTAATGAAGAGGTTGATTAGAGAGTAAGAAGAGAAGTGAAAAGAGAGGCAAAGGAGAAGGAGAGGGGCAAGGAAAAGTGAACCAAAAATACGAAAATGAGAGGAGAGAGAGGAGAAAAATAGGCACCACAGATGTTCGGATATAACTGATTTTTAATTTTTCCTATCAAAAATTGATTTTTTTAATATTAAAATAAAAATATGTATAAATCTATAATTATTTCATGTTAATTTTACCACGTTTCAATGTTTATATTTAGGGCTCTAGCTGAGTTGGGTGAGTTAAATTCTTTTGAATTATTTAAATCAATAACTTTTATTGTACAATTTAAAGTTTATTTGAATTTTTCTAAGTCGAGTTGAATTTATAATTTTTTTTATAAATTTAGTTATAAATATTTATAATATTATGATACTATTTGATTTCAATTTAAACGATTTTCTATACTCTTATAGTCATATATTTCTTCTTATTTTTTCGAATGTAATATGCATATATAATATAGTGTTGATGAACTTGATTCAAACTTGAAAATCAATATACTAATTACTAAAAATTTTAATATATTCGAGTTCTATTTTATAACTCGACTCAAAAAATTTTAAATTTTCAAGTTTAGTCAAATTTATAAAATTACATCTTGAAGTTAATTCAAGTCGAGTTTTTTAAGGTGATATAGTTTTACTTACCCCGTTTATATTGGGTGTTAAAATATTCTTTGTAAATATTTGTATTTATAATATTGACATCTTTCTTGAATAAGAAGGATTTAAAATTTTCAAGTTTAGTCAAATTTATAAAATTACATTCAAGTCTAGTCCCACGCGTAACAACACCAGCATCCGCATGAATCAATGGTTCCACCACCGATCACATTACAAACGATCGCTCGAAGTCATTCTGATGTGGCGTATACGGTACTAATTCATTGTTTACGAGTAATAGTAATCAAGTCAAGATTACACACACTGGTCAAAGATCTTTACTCACCTCTGCTAATTCATTACGCTTATATAATTTGCTACATGTTTCTGTTAATCTTTTATATGTCTCAATTAACTCATGATAATAACATTTTTTTTTTAGTTTCATCCTAATAAGGGTTTTGTGAACGACTCCCTGACCAGGAATACACTCTGCTAGAGGGAGGCACACTCTTGAAGGACTCTTTAGTCTGAAACCTTATATTCGTGTCTATTTGTCTAGATTTATATCATAAGCACCTGAGACATTTGTAAAAAAATGTTTTAATTGCAATATAGGTTCGTATGTTGATCCTGTTTAAAAGAGAAAGTGTTATAGTTAAGAGAAATAGAAAAGGATTCGAGAAGAATAAATAGAGAATTAGAGATTTCAGAAAAGAAATACTTCATTCATTACTTGAGAAATCAATTCATCTCAGCCAGTGTTTATTTAGTTACAGGGCTATAATTGTAATTTAAAAATATGACAGTTGTCAATACTATATAACAACTATAACAAACTGATATTATCTTTTCTCTTCAGGTACACCGAACTTGGGCTAATTCCTATCTTGTTGGACTGCAAACTCAGACTGTCCCACTCCATCTTGACCCAGGTATTTGATATGCTCCACATCAGAAGGTAAATACATCGTTCCCTCTACTTTTATTGTAATCCCTAAATTCCCAATTTCAATCCCCTCTCGTCCCTCGATCCCCAATTCTCCATCATCAATCTCTAACCCTTGACCTCCTCTTCTCCCAATTCCTTCGTCATTTCCACGCTCTTCTCCACCTACTGTAACAATACCCGTCGCTGGAATCGATCCTTGACCCCAAGGATCAAAGCCTGGAAACTGCCCTCGCATAACAGTATAATCTTCTCATGTATCATTGGATTCATCAAGGTTCGTCCATCATACCAACAACTGCGTAACAAGTTTGTTTTGTCTGTTAATGATTCTTCTGCCCATCACTTTATAAGGTTCTATTCTAATCTGACCCTCTTCGTCCATTGTAGGAGGAGTCGTTGAAGAGACTGTTGAGGGCCCGATGTGTTACTTCAAAAGACTTACATGAAAGACTCGATGTAAACGCAATGATTCAGGTAAGTCCAATCGATATGCAACTTCCCTAATTTTCTCAATAATTTTGTAAGGGCCATAAAATTTTACTGCTAACTTTAAATTTTTTCGCAGGGCTAAGGAAGTTTGTCTATATGGTTGTAACTTCAGGTAAACTGTCTCCCCGATTGTAAAAACTCTCTCTGTTATATTCTTGTATGCTTTATGTTTCATCCTGTTGCTTGCATTCTCCAATTGTAGCTTTACTAATTGTCTAATGTCCTCTCTGCTTCTCATGAAATCATTAATTGACTGTACATTAGAGTTTGTCTGCCAAACCATAGTAGGAGGCTTGTAACCATACAATGCCTGAAAAGGTGTAATTTTTAGGGTAGTGTGGTAGGTAGTGTTATACCACCACTTTGCATGAGGCAACCACTTAGCCCGTTGCTTAGGTTGAAAAAAAACATAAGCCCCTTAAATACTGCTCCAATCATTGATTCACCCTTTCTGTCTGACCATCAGTCTCGGGATGGTAAGCTGTGTTGAACAGTGTAGTAGTGCCAAGCTGCTTCATTAGTTCTCTCCAAAAGAGACTAGTGAATGTCTTATCTCTTTCTGAAATAGCTAGTTTAGGCTGACCATGTAGCTTGTAAACATTATCTAGATAGAGCTTAGCCACCTCAACTACAGTGTAGGGATGGGACAATGCCATAAAATGGTTGTATTTTGTGAACTTATCCACCACAACTAATATACAGTTTTTCTTAGTGAAGTAGGTAAGCCATCAATAAAATCCATAGTAACCACCTCCTAAGCTTTTTGAGGAATAAGAAGGGGTTGTAGCAGTCCTGGTTTAGGTATATGCTCAACCTTAGTTTCCTGACAAACTGTACAACATCTTATATAGGTGACCACCATAGCCTTTAGCCTAGGCCAATAAAAATAGGAATCCTTTGATAAGTAGCTTGAGTCCTAGAATTACCTCCATGAGGAGAGTCATGTAAAACTTAAGAATTTGGAGTCTAAGAGACCCAGCAGACCCAATGTAAACTCTGCATTTAAATCTGAGTATCCCTTTTGAAAATGTCCAATTAGGATCAGCAGTAGGTGTCAGATAATAGTTTGATCCAGTCAGCAGCCAATTTGTCATCCTTATAGCTGGTTTCAACTTCTTGTACCCATCTAGGAATAAGCAAAGTAGTTCTCATAGCAAGACAGTGACCAGTATCTTCCCATTTCCTTGACAGAGCATCTGCTACAGTATTAGATTTACCCCTTCTATATTGAATAGTATAGTCCAACCCCAGTAATTTAGTCAACCCTTTCTTTTGAATTGTAGTGGTCAGTTTCTGCTCCAAAAGATACTTTAGTGGCTCATGATCAATTTTAATAATAAAAGGCTTACTCTCTAAGTAATGCCTCCACTTGGAAATTGCCATTAAAATAGCAAGATACTCCCTTTCATAGATAGAGAGGGCAGCATGTCTAGGACTTAGGGCCTTACTGAGATAAGCAATAGGTCTGCCCTCTTGAGATAGCACAACACCAATTCCTCCTGAACTAGCATTTGTTTCCAAACAGAAACTTTTGCTGAAATCAGGTAAGGCTAAAATTGGAGCGACACACATAGCTTGTTTTAACAATTCAAAAGCATTCAAAGTTGCAGTGGTCCACTGAAAATTGTCCTTAGTAAGCAATTGAGTCAAAGGCTTACTTATGGAACCATAATCTTTAATAAACCTCCTGTAATAACCAGTTAAACCCAGAAATCCACGTAAAGACTTTAAAGATTTAGAAAGAGGCAAATTCTTCATAGCTTCTATCTTACTAGGATCTGTTGCTACTCCTGCTGCAGAAATAATATGTCCCAAGTACTCCACTTGGGTCTGTCCAAAAAACACTTGGACATTTTTGTAAATAGTTGATTGACTTTCAAAACCTCCAAAACTAATTGCAAATGAGTCAGATGTTCTGCCATAGAATTACTATAGACTAATATATCATCAAAGAACACCAAAACAAACTTTCTAAGAAATGATTTAAACAAATCATTCATTAATGCTTGAAATGTAGCAGGGGCATTAGTAAGACCAAAAGGCATTACCTTTAATTCATAATGCCCTTGATGAGTTCTAAATGTTGTTTTGTAGATATCCTCCTTTTTAATTCTAATTTTCCAATAGCCTGACCTTAAGTCAATCTTGGAAAAATAAACTGCACCATATAGTTCATCTAATAAATCCTCCACCACAGGAATAGGAAACTTGTCCTTCACTGTCAGATTGTTTAATTGTCTATAATCAACACAAAACCTCCAAGTCCCATCCTTTATCTTTATCAATAGGCATGGAGAAGCAAAGGGACTCTTGCTAGGTTGAATAATAGAGGAAGATAACATTGTAGCAATCTGCTATTCTACTTCAGCCTTCTGGTTATGAGGAAATCTGTGGGGCCTGAGATTAATAAGACTAGAACTAGGTTTGAGGGGAATAGCATGATCATGAGTCCTTGTAGGAGGTAACCCTGTAGGCTCAGTAAAAATAGAGCTATACCACTTTAAAAGAGGTTTGAGAGCTGTAGGAACTGACTTAGAAGTCTCAGTCATACTTAGTAAAACCACATGCCCCAAAATAACTGCATCAGATGTTGTCATTTTTAATAAAGTAGCACCTAAAATCTGCTACAAAAGCAGTGAGGGTTGTTATCCCTATATAATAATAGTTTCCCCTTAATGTTCAAAACTCATTGTCATTTGATTGAAGTCCATCAAAATTGGACTAAATAATTTCATCCAATCAACCCCTAAAACCATATCACTTCCTCCTAATTTAAGGAGTCTAAAGCCATGTATAAAAGAGTGTCCTTGCATCTGCCACTCCACTTTGTTGCATCTAGTTGAACTATAAAGCTGTTGGCCACTTTGTTGCATCAACCCATTGTGTTGTCAAAAAATTGTGTACTGTCATTGTCAATCAAAATATTCAAAGGTCTGCCTTGTATTGTTCCTTGAATCCTCAAAGTATTATGGCTAATACAACCAGTAATAACATTCATAGATATTTCTAAGTTTTCATCTTCTTGCATTATCTGCTGGTCTAAATCAGTAGGGACATATTCTGTAGGAATAGGATTCTCCTCTTCAATCATCATATTGAGGTTTCTTGTTTTACATTGATGGCCTGGCTGAAATTTTTCTCCATACTTAAAACAAAGATTGTTTTGTCTTCTGTAATCAATGAGAGTATGTTTAGGATTGGAAATTGGTGAGGATTTAGTAGGTAGTGGCACTGAATTTGTCTTGTGAGTATTAATGGGGTTTGGGTAGGGTGGGATTTTAAAGGAAGGTCTCAACCTTCTGTTTTCAAACTCCACAGACAACTCATAGAGCTTAGCTTGTTTGCATGCCTCAGATAAATTTTTAGGATCTAAAGCTTTTACTCTATGTTTGATGTCTTCTCTAAGCCCACTTATAAAAAGTGACACAAAGAAATCTTCACTCAAGGGAGGATTCTGTAATAGCATGTGTGGTTGTAACTCCTCAAACCTTTCTTGATATTCTTCAACAGATCCTTTCTGAGTAAGCTTAGTTAATTCCTCCACAATGTCAGAAAAAGACCTATCACTAAATCTATGACACATATCAGCTTCAAACTCATGCCAAGTTACATGATGCTTCTTCATAATATAGCCATCAAACCATATTTTTGTTTTCCTGTAAGATACATAGTAGCTACTTCTACCCTTTGATCTACAGGAACATTGCATAAGGACAAATACTTGAGACACTTATGAAGCCAACCCCTAGGATTTACCCCCTCAAAAAATGGCAACTCTATTTTGGGTCTATGCCACATAATTCTGTTAAAAGAACCCCCTGGCCCCCTCTTTTCAGTTTCCAATCCCAGCATAATAGGTTTAGTATGACTGTTTTCACCCATTTGATTTTGAGGCCTAACATTATTCTTAAGGGCTAAACAAGCACCAGGCTTCTCTTTCAAAATTCCAGGTTCATCAGTGTTATAAGTGAATCTTAATTTATCCTTCACTACTGTCACCAAAACATGATTTTTCCCATTCTTATAGTTATTAGGAGTGTTTACCTGATCATCTGCAGACTGTTCTTGTTCCCCATTTCTGCCTGTTAAAATCTTCAAGAGTTCTTCCATATATCCTTGGTTGGTAGCCATTCTAGACTCCAATGCCATAATTCTGTTTTCTTGGGTCTCCCACCATTTAGGTGGATTAGTCTCATCCAGACTATTTTTCACCAAAGCTGTTAAGTCCTCCATCTATTTTTGCAGACCCGATAAATCCACTTCAGCCAGATTTTGATTCTTCTTTTCCATGCTCACTTACTTGCCAGAATTCGGGGCTCTGATTACCAATTGTTATAGTTAAGAGAAATAGAAAAGGATTCGAGAAGAATAAATAGAGAATTAGAGATTTCAGAAAGGAAATACTTCATTCATTACTTGAGAAATCAATTCCTCTCAACCAGTGTTTATTTAGTTACAGGGCTATAATTTTAATTTAAAAATATGCCAGCTGTCAGTACTATATAACAGCTATAACAAACTGATATTATCTTTTCTCTTCAAGTACTGGGCTATTGAACTTGGGCTAATTCCTATCTTGCTGGACTGAAAACTCAGACTGTCTCACTCCATCTTGACCCAGGTATTTGATATGCTCCACATCATAAGGTAAATACATCGTTCCCTCTTCTTTTACTGTAATCCCTAAATTCCCAATTTCAATCCCCTCTCGTCCCTCAATCCCCAATTCTCCATCATCAATCCCTAACCCTTTACCTCCTCTTCTCCCAATTCCTTCGTCATTTCCACGCTCTTCTCCACCTACTGTAACAGAAAGCGTGCAATTGCTATCCTTTGTTTATAAGCATGACACTACTTTTTAGCTTGTTGTTTTCCATGTATGAGTGCATACTAGTGCTCGTTGTTGCAACAAAAGCCTACAACTGGTGTACCAATAAATGAGTATCTTCAGCCAACAATTGTAAACTCGTATCCCATGATAACAGTAGGTAAAAGTAGGATTAGAAAATCAAAGATTTATTGTGTTAATAAGTCTTCTTCTGTGTCGGTTAAATTACATCAATCGAAGAAGCCTTACACAGTGAACATTGGACAAAAGTTGCTGAAGCTGATACC